ACTTCTACTACTATGGCTAACGCTTAAGCAATAAAGTAAAATAATTACATGACGTTTATGTTGACACGCAGGTCATAAATAAATAAAGACAACTCATATGGCTCCTGCCGGTTGTCATACTCATCGACATGCAAGTCGTGATTCCTATTACAATAACATGATCAATCTCATACATCATATATATCATTCATCACATCCTTTTGGCCATATCACATCACACGGCACATGCTACAAAAACAAGTTAGACGTCCTTTAGTTGTTGTTGCAAGTTTTTACGTGGCTGCTATAGGTTTCTAGCAAGAACGTTTCTTACCTACGCCAAAACCACAACGTGATATGCCAATTTCTATTTACCCTTCATAAGGACCCTTTTCATCGAATCCGATCCGACTAAAGTGGGAGAGACAGACACCCGCCAACCACCTTATGCAACTAGTGCATGTCAATCGGTGGAACCAGTCTCACGTAAGCGTACATGTAAGGTCGGTCTGGGCCGCTTTATCCCACGATGCCGCCGAATCAAGATAAGACTAGTAACGGCAAGCAAGACAATATCGAGGCCCACAACTGCTTTGTGTTCTACTCGTGCGTAGAAACTACGCATAGACCTAGCTCATGATGCCACTGTTGGGGAACGTAGCAGAATTTTAAAATTTTCTACGCATCACCAAGATCAATCTATGGAGTCATCTTGCAACGAGGGTGAGGGGAGTGCATCTACATACCCTTGTAGATCGCGCGCGGAAGTGTTCAAGAGAACGGGGTTGATGGAGTCGTACTCGTCGTGATCCAAATCATCGATGACCTAGTGCCGAACGGACGGCACCTCCGCGTTCAACACACGTACGGTTGGGAAGACGTCTCCTCCAACTTGATCCAGCAAGGGGGAAGAAGAGGTTGATGAAGATCCAGCAGCACGACGGCGTGGTGGTGGAAGCAACGGTGATCTCGGTAGGGCTTCGCCAAGCACAGGGAGAGGAAGGAGTGTCACGGGAGGGAGAGGGAGAGGCTAGGGGCTAGGGTGCGGCTGCCCTTACTCTCCCCCACTATATATAGGGTCCCTAGGGGGGGGCGCCGGCCCTAGGAGATCCAATCTCCAAGGGGGGGCGGCGGCCAAGGGGATGGCTTGCCCCCCAAGCCAAGTGGAGCGCCACCCACCCCTAGGGTTTCCAACCCTAGGCGCAGGGGGAGGCCCAAGGGGGGCGCACCAGCCCACTAGGGGCTGGTTCCCCTCCCACTTCAGCCTATGGGGCCCTCCGGGATAGGTGGCCCCACCCGGTGGACCCCCGGGAACCTTCCGGTGGTCCCGGTACAATACCGATTACCCCCGAAACTTTCCCGATGGCCGAAACTTGACTTCCTATATATAAATCTTCACCTCCGGACCATTCCGGAACTCCTCGTGACGTCCAGGATCTCATCCGGGACTCCGAACAACTTTCGGGTTACCGTATACTAATATCTCAACAACCCTAGCGTCACCGAACCTTAAGTGTGTAGACCCTACGGGTTCGGGAGACACGCAGACATGACCGAGACGACTCTCTGGTCAATAACCAACAGCGGGATCTGGATACCCATGTTGGCTCCCACATGCTCCTCGATGATCTCATCGGATGAACCACAATGTCGAGGATTCAATCAATCCGTATACAATTCCCTTTGTCAATCGGTATGTTACTTGCCCAAGACTCGATCGTCGGTATCCCAATACCTCGTTCAATCTCGTTACCGGCAAGTCACTTTACTCGTGCCGTAATGCATGATACCGTGATCAACCACTTGGTCACATTGAGCTCATTATGATGATGCATTACCGAGTGGGCCCAGAGATACCTCTCCGTCATACGGAGTGACAAATCACAGTCTCGATTCGTGCCAACCCAACAGACACTTTCGGAGATACCTGTAGTGTACCTTTATAGTCACCCAGTTACGTTGTGACGTTTGGCACACCCAAAGCACTTCTACGGTATCCGGGAGTTGCACAATCTCATGGTCTAAGGAAATGATACTTGACATTCGGAAAAGCTATAGCAAACGAACTACACGATCTTTGAGTTATGCTTAGGATTGGGTCTTGTCCATCACATCATTCTCCTAATGATGTGATCCCGTTATCAATGACATCCAATGTCCATAGTCAGGAAACCATGACTATCTTTTGATCAACGAGCTAGTCAACTAGAGGCTCACTAGGGACGTGTTGTGGTCTATGTATTCACATATGTATTACGATTTCCGGATAACACAATTATAGCATGAACAATAGACAATTATCATGAATAAAGAAATATAATAATAACCATTTTATTATTGCCTCTAGGGCATATTTCCAACAGTCCCAAGCTTGGTGATATGAGCTAGATGGTAACAAGAGAAGTAGGGACACGATGTTTTACCTAGGTTCGAGCCCTCTTGATGAGGTAAAATCATACATCCTGCTTCTTATATATTGATTGCGATGGGGTACAGAATACAACATGATCTACCTCGAGGTCATATGAAAATGTTCTAATCTCTAAAACTTGCGATCATGCCTCTATAGACTAAACCCTATGGCATATATAGATGCCCGGGGTATTTAGGGTTTACAAATGGTTGGTTGCGATCTTGGGATAAGCATGTCGATCCTTTAGATACAATCGTGAAGTGTACACCAAGTCTTCGGAGATCTTCATTTGGATGACGGTGAAGGCATCAACCTAGTCAGGACCCATTCAACCATTTGTGGGTCCTCGGCTCGGCCCATGGTTGATGGGTCGTCATGATTTGCACCCCCTAATCCGGGGTACCGTCAGCAGGGATGGCGGGCCTACCATGGCACGACACTCGAAGCACTGTCTGGTGGCCTTGCAGGGCTTATCGTCGATCTGCATCATGTGACTAGTACATGAGGAGGTGCATCCGTAATCATGCCACGAAAATGTAGCCATGTTGGTGAACCTCGTTAACAAACCTCGGTGTCGTGCTCTTACTTGTCCTCAATGGTTCGACGATGGCCTCAGATTATTGTAACAGGAGTCTTGACGCTACACCAAGGTAAAACACACCAAGGTAAAAACCTTCTGGTGGAGAGTCATTAATGTTTTTGTTCCATGCAAAGACAGTGCTGAGAGATCGACATATTGATAATATAGGTTTCTATGAAGGTTGAGGAATTCAATCATTCATGCACTATTTGAATGCTCTCGGGCTCGCATATTCTGGCAGGAGACTAAGATGAAATCAGGGGTTAAGGGCATCTCCAACGTTGAGGAGTAAACCGGACAACACATCCGTCTTCGGACAGGGGAACCAGTCCGCAGACACGGATGTGGGAGTCGGCCTTCGAAAGCTAGTCGCATACATTTTAAATCGGGTTTCAACTAACCGGACGAATTGCATCAAGCACATTGGATTCATCAAAGTTTGGATAGAAAATAGCACAAATCATTCAAAATAGCGTGCAAATATGTCTAGCACAATAGTAATTCTAATTCAACCGGATGTTCAACAAGTTTTTCATGGATAGATCAAATTCAACGATGCTAACTCCAGTCCGGCACATGCTATCCTACACATACTGTCCCTTGAGCTTCGTCCAACAATACATGTGCGTGGAGCAACAATGAGTGACTGAATAAATCAATCAACATGTAGAGCAAGAAGAAGCAAAACCTACGATCTTCATGGTTGCCGCATGCAATGTCCACATTGCCTCCGTGCGATCAATCGCGCCACAATACTTTGTTGCACAGTTCTGGATCGTGTAACATCAAACTTTACATTGCATTCATAGATGATGTGCATGTTGTAGGGCGCAAAGTGCTTTCACACATGAAACGAATCATGCACGCGCTCCAAAAGAGCCCCCTTCTGCTCCTGCGTACAAAGTCCGCAGATATGGCCAACCACGCATCGCACCACAACTAATCCTCCATGGTTGAGTACCCCGTCATCCTTCTTACTCTAAAAAACAACATGAAGTTTGAAAACTTGTAGGGCGTGGTGTCCAGCATGGACATCGTTGACCGGGAAGGGGGGAGGGTACCTGGTTGCGGATAGGCCCGGGGTGGACGATGTCATAGTGCAAGGCGAGCGGGCACTTGGGGTGGTGGCTGCAGACATCCAACAATGCCTGGGTGGCGGTACAACGGGGACCCGAAGAGGGATTTGAGTGGGCCGGGGTGTCAGGAGTCCTACATGGCAACGGTCTAGACTCTCGCGAAGCTCCTCCCCCCAAGTTTGCTTCCAATTTGCAGAAAAAAAACACATCCGAATCAGTTGGCAAACCGATACATAACTGTGTTGGATGACAAAACATGTCTAAAACACAGTCCTGACGATCGGCGAGATGCCTTAAGATACCAGAACTACATTCAGTTTCATGGGTTGGGGATTTTATCGAAGGAGTGGAGAGAATATCATGTGATACCATCTCTTATGCTCCCATGATATCAATTTCAAAAAGTGAAATTTAAATGCTTCAAAAAATTCAAAAACAATTTGTGGATGTTCACAACACATGTGTCTACAATCCTTGAAAAATTCAAAGTACACACAGAATAATAGTGTCAATAAAGTTAAAATCATGAACAGTTTAGATAGTTAAACTATGGGGGAGAAGCATCTTTGCTCTCGAACTAGCAATGTTTCCGCTTGAGGGCATCTTTGCGCTAGCTCCCTTGCGGAAACAATTCAGCAAGATTGTAATTCTATTCACTCAAAGTTTCCAAACAAAAGCCATAATTGTCAAATGCACACCCCCAGGTTGGTTCCATTGCCGTCAAAGCCCTTGTTGAAGGGCATGGCAATCTAGAGGTCTTGATTGCTTACCAACAACCGTTTCTTCTCCTTACCATATGGGTGATGGACCATTAGGTAGAGTATTGAGTATGAAAGAGCCCATAGATTACTGATCAAGTTTACAGCACCAAAAGGTAACTAAACAGCACATCAGAGAACAGCTGTGCTCCACAGTTTACACCACCAAAAGTTTGGAAATCCTAATAATGGTCTCACGTGCTCAACAGATTAACAGGCCGAACAACAAAACCGAATTCGTCACTACATCCTAGTGTTTCATATCCAGCTAGTACCCGTAGTTCGGAGGGTAGTGTGCCCCATAGCCTCCTCCATTGTGAGGGGTAGGACCTGCGCCGCCTGGAGGGGTTGCATACGACAGTCCTCCATACGGCGGGTATGAGTTGTAGCCCGAGTCAACTGGTTGAGAGGGAGGAGCGGGACCTGGTGGAGGAACTTGGGGAGAAGCTTCGGCCATGAAATTCTGCAACAAGAGGATGGTGATCAAATTTAATAGAAGACGGAAGAACTGCAAAGCGCAAATGACAAGCTATACAATGTATGATATGATTTTATGGCAACAATGACATTATTGTAGCTTCTGAAATTGTAATTTGAACCTTGGAAAATAAGCATCCAGCCATCTAAACACTCTGATAGAATAATCAAGGAGCCATCATAAGAGTTTTTCCTCTTCAAGTTGTGCAACATCTTCCATGTACTCCCTCCGTCCCACAATATAAGACGTTTTTGCAAGCTATGTTAGCTTGCAAAAACATCTTATATTATGAGACGGAGGAAGTACATCTGAAGTACTCCCTCCATTCCACAATGTAGTGCACCCGCGCTTCCCAAGATCTAAGTTTGACCATACATTTAACCAACGAGACCGACTGCGGCGGGAGCAAAAATTATATCACTGAATTTGTTGCTCCCGTCGCAGTGGTCTAGTTAGTTAAATGTATGGTCAAACTTAGATCTCAGGAAGCACGGGCGCACTACATTGTGGAATGGAGGGAGTAGTACTTTGTAATATATATAATGACAATACTGAGGCTAGGAAATAGGATCCTCACCAACATGCAATTTTAGCCAAAATGCAGATGATGAATGCATGTGAAATTGATGCATTCTAAGAGGACAAATGAAAATACCTTGATCAGCTGCTGAGCAGTTTGAACTTGTGAGGCACTTCCTGCGATCTCGACCGTCATCTCCCCAGGAACACCTTCTTGAATACTTATTGTCGCACCACTATGCTTGCGGATATAGCTAATATTGGCACCAGCAGACCCAATCACAGCATCAGCGTAGGAAAGAGGAACTTGCATTTTTTGGGAAATCTGTCAATAAACCAAACAAATTTTTGGAAAAGGCAGTGTAAGCAATAAATTTACAGGCATAAAAGAAGACAGCATGTTCATAATGGTCAAATTTAAAGCAACTAACTTGAGAAGACCCATGCGATAGGTGTTGATTCCCTGAGGTAGGAGCAGCAGTTGGATTTGCATCACGTCCATATGAAGAAATTCCATAGTGCGGTTGCTTCTCCACATGGTGCACATCAGGAGGAGGATAATAGTTGTCTTGTGGCCGTGGCGGCATAAAATGTGGATTCCCACCATAACCTGGGCCACTGGGAGGAATGTTTGGTGGATGACTCCAGGGCGGAGGAGGACCCCATTGCTGAGGAGCAGGCATAGGTTGCTCTCTGGGCGCACTGTGCACTTTCATCTGTCAAGAAGGACAAGGTTTATTGGATACTTCTTTCAAGCAAACAATTCGCTGCATAATAGAAATCACTTACCTGCATTTCGAATAAAGGGAGAACACTACGGTCAACAAGAAATTTTCTCAAATGGTTTGCAATCAGTTCCACTGCTTTGTGAACATCATGAGGTTCACCTTGTATCTCGACAACTCTGTCATCATTTAATGCTACAGGTGGCACATTCTCTGAAGGAAAAAAATTAGTAAATGGGCGTCATGTGTGAGTACATGCAAAACTAAGCCTAATGAAAGTTCAGTACAGTTGATTAGCAATGATTTAGCAAACCAAGGAAAAAAGTACAGAAACAAGCTGCAACAATCACCCCATCAAGCCAGGGGGTGGCACATGCTTAGTACATTCTAGCATAACAACAACAACAACAACAACAACAACAAGAACAAAGCCTTTTAGACCCAAACAAGTTGGGGTAGGCTAGAGGTGAAACCCATAAGATCTCACGACTAACTCATGATTCTGGCACATGGATAGCAAGCTTCCACGCACCCCTGTCCATGGCTAGTTCTTTGGTGATACTCCAGTCCTTCAGAACTCTATTGCATGCATCATAAAACTCAGATTCTGACATCTACCAGCCAGCAGAATTGAATTCTTAAAGGGCAGGCTTTTGTCATGCGTGTGCATGAATTCCATATCTTTAAAATTCCATATCTACCAGCCAGCGGAATTGAATTCTTACGCGCAAGGAGCAAGTAAAGAATCAATACACAAGGAAAATGGTTGATCATACAAAGTATGATAATCATAAATCATAAGCACCACCAGCATATGGTACACTGTACGCGCACAATCAGTCGCGAAAAGCTAGGAAATAATTTGGAAGTACACATGGTTCCCACAACGGGTGCCTATGTCCTGATCCATAAAGAAAAGGATAACAATGCAAAACATGAGTCATATCATCTTATCAGTTCAGTGACACAAACTGCATATGGCATGCGAGTAAACCACAAAAGAAAAATCACAGATCTATCCTTGGCTAGCTGAAGACAAGCAAGGAGCTACGAAACTTGGTATCAAGAGCAGAAGAGGTCTTATATCATACTATACTACAACAATATGGTGAAGCATTGCCATGCTGAGACAACAATATAGGGGAAATATGAATCTTACCAAGAATGCGGAGGGCACACTTTGAAGCATCCTGTATTGATTTAATGGTTGCTCCTTGCTTGCCAATCAGGCTGCCAGCTTGGGAAGCTGGCACAAGTAGCCGTGTTGGCCCTGCAGGACCAGCACCTCGCTGAGCCTGGTCGGTTTCACTGTCTAAACCATCTGTTATTCTATTATGTACTCTGAGCAGACCATCAATGGCTGGCGGAACGAGTGCATCTGGCTCATCCTTTGCTGAAATCATTACCTTTAAACAGGAAAACAGTGTCTAGATGTCAGCAAGGAGGCACACAAACATGTTGCACAAGGATGGATAATACAGGAAAGCAATAATTAGTAGCAATATGCACGAGCATTGAGGAGACACAATATGGCATTGCAAGGATAAGCATATATTTCCATCCTACATTAGTTGGATGATGAAATGACCACAATACTTACACTACACCTACTACTACCCCAAGGCCAAAATAATCAAAATGCTGCATGTTGCTAAACAAACTAAAGGGCATACACATTTGGACACCTCCCGCATCTGATTCAGCCTAGGCAAGAACAGCTTATGTTCAGCCGTGCAGATTGTAGAATATCAATCCTTCCCTATTTTAGCACAATTTATCCAAGATGTGTTAATTGGGGAATGTTTGGTTCATTCCTACGCTGTACTGTGGAATGCAATAGTGTTTACTCTTTCTGGTAACATTTATATTACATCTCTCAAAGAATAAAAAAAATGTGAAATAAAACTGCCAATTAAAGTAATTAGACTGCCAAACTATGTGTTCCCATTGTGATTGCATAACTTCAAAGTTGTAAATAAGATCATGACATCTGATGCTGAAGTGGTTATGCACAGCACTATGGAGCAATATATATATTATAAGCCCAGAAATTTCCCACCCAACTCGATATACTTGCTCATCATTTAAGTAATAATATTATTATTTTGGACTGTGAATGCTGCTTCAGTTAGTACGAATTCCTAAAATATTAAATACTAAAGAAAGCGTTATAAATGGCATTTTTACTTGCTGTTGACGGGTATGCACTTGTATATTTTGACTTTGAAGATAGTCATTTTCTGAAAGAACCATCTAGGATTTAATGAAATTGTTAGGATTAAGCTTTTTCATACTATTTTAGCCCTGTAAATTTTGCCAACTGATTTCCTTTTGGCCAAAAAATCAACCGGGTCATGGAATTACCAGCCAATATGTGGAGCTTCTTGACAGGGATCTTCATCCAATACTCAAAAGACTTAAAATCGTATTTGCAGCAGATGAGCACAAAACTGAATCTGGTAACCATGACTGTTCGTCTATTTTGGATACAAAATGGGATATGACTTGAGGCCTTAGACTGCAGTGAGAACCTGCAAAGATTAGTTTCTTACTGTTATCGTCACCATTAAGTTTTCGACTTAATGTCACTCTATGGATAGTTTGCTTGTTTTGGGTTTTACAGGTTCCATACTTGTGCAGAAACTTCTATGAATCGTAGCATAAATATCAATGTCTTGTGTTGTCCTGTTATAATTGTTTTTTATTTGCATTACAAATATCAATATTTACAATTATAACTAACCAGCTCTTTTTGTAGCAAGAACATCCAAAATTATCCACACGGTTCATGAATAAATTTGGAAGCTTGCTAGGACTTTGACAATTATACATAATGTTCTTAAGTTGGCCGATAGCAGTACTCCTACCATATGATCAATCATTTTATTCTAGAAAAGGTATTTCAGAGTGCAACAATTACTTTATATCCATGTAAAAATCCAAAATTATCAATAGCTGCTTCCGGACTAAACTAACTCTTTGTTAGGACTTCACTTAACTAGTCAAACCAATATCAAAACATTCGCTTGCTCCTTGCTGGTTGCTGTAACAAAGGCATACAGCCATTCCATATAAACAGGTGGTTCATATAGCATTGTTTTTTATGAACAGTACAAAATGTAAAAAAGTATTTTTTATAATATCTTTGATGATCCAATCTTCCAAATTCTAAACCTTCAGTCTGATTTAGCAGTGATAGTGATCATAATTAAATGGAGCACTATTAAGCCCCAGATTCACGAGTCTTCACTATTTTTGAAACATTCAGAAGCACCTGAAACAGATTGCCTCTTCAAAACTCAAGGACAGTAAGCATCCCTAATTGAGCAATTGGTTCCTTATAAGAGCAAAATCAATCTGCAACTACAAATGTACATTAATACAGCATTGTACAGCATACAAATTGAGAACCAGTTGATCTATTCATATCTATGATTTTTTAAGTGCGAGACTTACTAAGGCCTTCCGTTGCCAATTACTATAGGCATCTACAAGTAAACTATAGCACATCAAGACAACATATACAGAAACCTTCTGAACTTCTGATAACCCGGTAAATAAGAATGTGAGAAGGCACATCAACACAGAATATAATTGTAAGGTGCTGTACAGTCCTATAGCTACAATATAGTTGTAAGGCTTGCTAGTTCATCGATCCTTCAAGACAGCCACAAAAACAGATCATCATTATGCAACGAACCAATATACCTCTGCATCGTTCTATTAAAGCAACACTATAGAAAAAAAAAGAACACTGATATGGGCAACAAATCAACCTTGGCTTCCACATGTACTCAGGATGCCTAGAAGGGAGACCTAAAACACTACTGAAAACTGTGATAATAACAATCAAAGATGGTACAAGAGAATGAAGAACTCACAGCTCTTTCTGGAACACCTGGTGGGCCATCAAGAATCTTTATGCGGGCTTTGGATTCATCACACATTCTTTTGATAAACTCCCCTTTGCGGCCAATGAGAGCACCCACCTTTTGGGCAGAAACCAGTACACGGAACACACTTTCTCCAGGCCACCCAGGCCATTTCGTGTCCTCCGTCTCCACATTGGCCAGTTGCTCTGCCTCAGCTGGCTCTTCAAGTGAACGGATAGCCTGGTCCTCGCTATTCTGATCCCCCATATCGTCATCTTTCACAGTCACCTGCGCTTCATCGCTCGGGTTACCAGATTCTTCGTTGTTTGTGCCTTTGGGTTCCTCATCAGATGTATTTTCTGCTTCTTCCTTGATCTGCTCTGCCACATCACTCTCAGGATTGGCTTGCTCCTCAATGCTAGCATCGGCTTGCTCACCGCAGGTAGGATTAGGGATCTCGCTCATCTCATGCTCCGTAACAGCAGGAGCCTCAGCAGGCCCATCCATATTCTCTGCAACACACAACCAAAAACCACTGTCAACCACAGCCAAGTAGCATAAACTCTCTGCACATACTCTAGATGCGCTAACCACATCATCACCTAAACCTTGCACGGACCAAAGCATGCACGGCGAAACCACTAAAAAACCCAACCAGATGTTGCTCTAGACCTCACTAAGCACACAGGCCGCGGATCCGCGCGCAAACCCTAAGCGTCGGTCGCCAAGGAGAGACGTGGAGGGCGCACGGCCTCCGAACCCTAAATCCGGAGCACTGGAGCGCGCGCGCGCGCCACCATGCCCCGAACCGCGCGTCCGCGTCCAGAGTAAGCTACCACAAGCGCGCGCGTGCAAGGCTACAGCCGCCAGCCAGCTAATCACCTACGCTCAACCGCGCGAGCAAAGCTCCAGGGTTACGGGTGGCAGAGCGCGAGCGATAGGGAGAGGGAGAGAGTGCAGAGCGTGAACCTTGTACGGACGTGGAGGCAGCCCTCGCCGGAGAGGAAGCACGGCCGCCGCCGCCGCCGGAGAGGTGGGGGCGAGGGTTTTGACGGGAGCGAAAGAGCACGGGGGAGGGGGAGGGGAAGGGTGAGGATTTGGGTCGAGAGCGGGTTGTGTGCTCGTGCGCTTGCCGTTTTCGACATAGCTATATACTGGCTGCGGCGGCCCTGCAGGCCGGGCCCAAACGAGTCTCTGGGCCTTGGCTCTTCGCGTTCCTCTCATGGGCCGGGCCGGGTGGGCAGCGGGCCCCACCGAGCCAGTAGTGCCCGAGTTGTTTAGCTCGTTCGTTTGTTTCGTGGTGGACTCATGTCGTCTTCCTCGCCACCACACCACACCACTGCAGTGCCGTCGCGTCATCTCCCACCTCCCCCATCGGGCCAGCGGAAGCAGCAGCTGCGTTCGGAACCAACCATGCTCCCCTGCCTCCTCTCCCTCCTGCTCCTCGCCGGCGCCGCGGCGGGGGTACAGGGCCACGACGACGCGGCGGCGAGGCGGACGATGGAGGAGTTCGCCGGCTTCCCTGCCTCCAACGACGGCGAGGGCGGCCGCGCCTCCCCCTTGCGCGTAGACTCCGACAGCCTCCAGCGCCAGGTACACGGCGCCGTTGGATGCTCCTCATCCTCCCCCCTTGCGCTGATTTCCCGTCCGTCGCGCCGGCCGGCCAGGCGGCCGGTGACCGCGGACGTGGCGCGCGCAGTATTAGCGAACTGTGATCCGCGCGCGCTCCCCTTCTAATTGGTGCCGATGATATGTTGGGGTTGGCAATGTGGTGGTGATGGTTTCTCTTCCGCTTTGGTTGCGCAGATTGATGAACTGGCCTCGTTCTCCGACTCGCCGGCGCCGTCGGTGACGCGTGTTTTGTACAGCGACAGGGATGTGCAAGCTCGAAGGTGAGGATACCGCAGGCAGTTAAAATTTCCCGTGCCCCTGACTCGTGAGGGTTAGCTATGTTCCCTGGTCACGAGAGTTGGTAGCGAGTAGTTGCAATTAAAATAGCTTCGTTCGCCTTTACTCTGATTGCCTCCAGTTTTCTTGGAGTCAAATTGGCTTGTTATTCATTTCAAACTCGACAGAAATTTATTTCATTGACATATATAATTAATTGATCACTCTGGATTATTATGCTCTGAATTTACGTTGCTTCTGGTTTCACATACTGACCGTCAAATTTTGAATGGTTCTGTGCAAAGTTTTTGAAAAAACGCTAGGCATTAATTGTGAGTTTTTGCCACTGCCTTGTGCTTTTCTGACCAAAGCGCACGCTTAAGTGCAATTATGCGCACATTAAGCACAATTAACCGCTAGGCTTTTTGCTTTCGCCTATAACCTGGCGTGCCTTTTGTAACTATGGTTGTGTGTACAGTATACATGCTGTTGGCCCGTGACAGCGTGCATTTCTGCCTAGCAGCTACCCTATGCTGATCATTGATCTCTTCTCTTAATGCATATATAGGTATATTAAAGGGATAATGAAACAGCTTGGCCTCTCTGTTCGAGAAGATGCCGTTGGCAACATATTTGGCCGCTGGTGAGTTGGTACTTCATACCTCTGGGATTCTGTTGTTTGTTTATGTATCTGAATTTGAAAGTTGTTAGCAATGGACAATTGCAAACGATTCTTTCGCCAATCAGCTTTGAATTTATATGATTTGTATGGTTGGACCGTTGGAGTAATAGCTTTACCATGGAGCTCTTTTTTTTTGCTCGAGTAGCCGAAGTGATAATTTATTGGCATGATAGGAATGACCGCATCTGATAATGTGCCAATTATGAAACTAATTTTATTACTGTTCTTGTTCCCAGTTTGGATTTACTTGATGTGCTCAAACTCTCGGCATTGGACTTGATATGTACAAAAGGAACATATTTCTGCTGGCTAATTGTGTTTCACATTGTAACAGTGTGTTTGTTTCTACAGGGTGGGTTCTGAGGCAGAACTAGGAGCAGTTGCAACTGGTTCTCATGTTGATGCCATTCCATTTTCAGGCAAATATGATGGGGTCGTTGGTGTTCTGGGTGCTCTTGAGGCAATCAGTGTGCTACAACGGTACGAATTCTGTCTACTCATTTTTTTCATCATTTTTTGAACATAAATTTCATTTTCCCTTTTTTTGGATTGATATTAGGCCATTGTACATGTTATTTACCTTTCTATTATTCAAAGTGTCAGATGGTTAAATTGCACTTGAGACCACATAAGGCTATACAAATATTAGATTTAGTTATACTTTCGTATTGAAGAAAACCTGGCATTTTTTTTCAATGTTGTCACACCCTCGGAGACATGACTCCAGGCTAATATAAAATGTGAACTCCATTGTGATTTTCATCTTCAGAAAAACCTTACTTGCTTGGCCTGCATGTGTCATACAGGTCTGGTTTCCAGCCAAAAAGATCCTTGGAGGTTATTATGTTTACATCAGAGGAGCCTACACGATTTGGAATTAGCTGCTTGGGAAGGTTCACCCTCATTTACATGTTACATGGTTATTATGTTTACATGTTATTCTAAGAAATGATATCAATTCTGCTTGAGCTAATTGTCGCTTGGTCTTAGTTTGTCGGTTCTCATATGTGCACTCTTTGAAAATGTGCAGCCGCTTAATGGCAGGGAGCAAAGAACTAGTTCAATCACTAAAAAGGACAGTTGACAACCACAATGTATCATTTGTTGATGCTGCTGACTCTGCTGGCTACAAGATACACCCAGACGATCTACATAATGTGTTTTTGAACCAAGATGCATATTTTGCTTTTATAGAATTGCACATTGAACAGGGCCCCATTTTGGAAAAAGAAGGTCGGATTTGTTTTAGTTGTATCAGTATGTATGTGGTTCAAAACATCTCTTACTCATGTCTGTTCTTATGAACAGGCATCCCAATTGGCATTGTAACTGCCATTGCTGCTCCTGCAAGTATTAAGGTGGAATTTGAAGGGAATGGGGGTCATGCTGGAGCAGTGCTAATGCCCGCAAGGTTAGCATCCATTGTTTGGTGTTACAGTTGAAGGGTCTCCACATATATGTATGGTAAAGAGCCGAAGCAGTGTTTTGCAGAAATGATGTTGGATTGGCGGCAGCTGAGCTGGCATTAGCAGTTGAGAAACATGTTTTGGAATCAGGATCGATAGATACAGTTGGAACAGTTGGTATGTTTGATAAATTGGCTTTTATTTTCTAAGTCATGTGTAGTAGTACTAGCTCATGCATGTGGTACCGACTTATGTGTTCCTCTACAAAATGATTTGCAGTTGCACAAAGCATGTTTTGAATCCGGTGAAAGGATGCTTAGCCTGCATTTCCAAAATTATATTCATTTTAAGCCCTCTATGGATTGTAGGATTCCAATCCGTATGATTTTTTCCTATGGATTGCCTTTGGATCAAAGGAATGGTGCTAGCGAATTCCTATGGATTTGATCCTATGCCTCAATTCCATAAGAATTTGAACATCCACCCGAACCTCATTTTAATATTTAATCATGTAGGGTCAACTCAATTTTCATGGGTTTCATCCAAATGACTATTCAGCAGTCCTCTGTGTTGTGCAATCATCTGTTTTGTACCAGCAAACGTATCAAATTTCTGTGGTTTTCCTATTCCTATGTTTCCTATATCTGTATTGAACCTTCCTTTGATCATTTCTTAGTTCAACTGTTAAAATAAATGCACATCTGATGAAATGCATCAAATGCAGATTATGTATCCATATATTTAGCTAAGCCATGAGACTTAACAACTTGAAAACATGAAAAGTATTTTGATGTTCTTTTTGAGTCAAAATAATTTGATGCTTAAATAAAAGGAATAGTGAGCATGGTTTGTAGTTATCTGTTGTAGACTAGGTGCTCAGTTATATATTCGAATGTTTTTTTCATTGTGAAAGTATGCTTATGCAGCTACTGGTCAACCAACATCTTAAGAAGATGGTCAAGGAAGGCTTGCCCACATTATATTTTTCTAACATATTATTTTCATATAGGTATTCTGCAGCTACATCCCGGAGCTATCAATAGCATCCCAAGTAAATCACACCTAGAAATTGGTAGGAGCCTGTAACTTCAGCTACAACTATTGTTTTTCCTAAGGGGAAATGGTTTTTTTTTCAACCAGTAAATCCAAAATATCATATGTACAGATGTAAGAGATGTTGATGAGAAAAGAAGGAATGATGTCATTGAGAAGGTTCACAAATCTGCCATTGACATATCAAAGATCCGTGGAGTAGAACTATCGGAATTCAAGATCATCAACCAGGATCCGCCTGCTCTGTCTGACAAATCAGTCATAAACGCAATGGAATTTGCTGCAAAACAGCTGAGCCTAGAATACAAATTGATGATAAGCAGAGCTTATCACGATTCACTCTTCATGGCCAGGTGAAGTACCAGGCCCCAACAGAGATTTTCTCATTTAGCAATATTTGCAATGTGCTGCTTTACTTCATTTCTAGTATCATTTTAGCGCATTCATTGTGAGTTCTCTCGAGTAACACATACACCTGTCTTTGCTCTGCAGAATATCACCAATGGGTATGATCTTCATTCCCTGTTACAAAGGTTTGTACTCCGCTCCTCCATAACGCTATCATATCTTTTGTCAAAATGAAGATGCTGCAATGTCTGAGATGATATAAAAATCCGATACCAGTTCGGAAGTATATGCCATATGTTTTTTATAGTATAGATCCTGGTGGATATTGAAAAGTCAGGGTATTGCTTCTGTGTTTGGTGGAGACTTAAGTGATGTGACGTTCAAGTTTATAATGCACGAAGTAAAACTAACGAATGACTACAACATAAATGGCTGCTGAGTTCATCCTTCTTTTTCTGAACGGTGCCTAACATATCTTTCTGGCTGCAGGATACAGCCACAAGCCCGAAGAGTATGCATCGCCCGAGGACATGGCAAATGGGGTCCAGATGCTAGCCTTAACAATGGCCAAACTATCGCTGGAGTGAGCGTGGCTTGGAGAGAAATCAAGAGGGACTAGAATGGTCTAATTTGTGATGTGATAACGTGTGGCGTTGATTATGCACGTGAAACCACTTAAGTTAAAATCATGGTCTCATTCTGAAACCATTTTCTAGCCGTTCTCTAGAGATTTTATCCGGAGGAAAGGGCCTCTTTGATTGGCATGACTCGAAAAACACAGTAATAAGAAAACATAATAATTCCATCCCCTTGTTGAATCATACGGGAATGGAAAATGCGTGAAGGTGTAATAGAAGGTCTCTGGTTGCAACATGGTCTGAACTTCACTAAAGGATTAATTGCTTGTCACGGGAACACGCTAAATCCAGGGACCCCTTTGGCTAAAATCATTTTCATATGAAATTTGAAGGACTGGAATTCATTAGTAATATTTTTTCTCGGTTTGTTGTTTGGTTTGTAGGATTGACTTCTACAGATTTTGTTTTTTTCTCTCTAATAAAAGAATATTCCTGTGCATTATATTTCATAGAAATTTCACTATTGACATAGACCTTTTGTTTTCTCCTATGATGCAATCATTGCTGTCCTTATGATGTAATCAAACATATTTTGATGCAAATTATATCAGGTAGGAACCAAGTAGACGTGGCTCCTGCGGGTTTCTTTTTTCCCGTCCTAGCGTTTTAGGATTTCTATATGGAGTTCTCTCTGAAACTGCATATGAAGTAGTCCTTCAAAACTTCCTATGGTACTCTTTCCCGCAAAAAGAAAAAAACTTCCTATGATACTCAATCTTATACATACATAATCAAAAAGATCTACATGGAGTATGGAATATTCTCAAGAGCTAGGATCCTCTAAAATTTACATGAAGCTTCTATGTTTGAGATTTTTTTTTAACCGGCAAGGAGACGAAATAGTTAAGTGCATCATCGCTTGGCAGCTGCCGTGACAGATACTCGCGTTCTTTAGAGTTTGGCTGACCATAGGTGTGCCAAGTAAAATAACAGGACTCCCCCCCACACACAGAAAAAGTAAGAAAACAGGACTGCAGGAGTATACGATGTCGACCCCCATGAAGCCGTCGTTGCTTCGCCCGTTGCGTGTAGGGGATTGATTATGTTTCTGTGCCTCTCGTAGAAGTACTCTTCACGCTACTTCTATACATAGTAGTGCCTATATAATGCACCAAGTAACGACGAGGAGACTTGGAGTGATCTGATGTTCAAGTTCTATAATGCACTAAGTATAAAATCAACAAAATCACTGGAAAAAAATGGCTGCTGAATCCATCCTTCTTTTCTGAACGGTGCTGAACCCATCTCTGTGGCTGCAGGGCACAGCCACAAGCCTGAAGAGTATGCGTCGCCGGAGGACATGACAAACGGGGTTCAGATGCTAGCCTTGACAACGGCCAAACTATCCCTGAATCAAGAGGGACTAGCATGGTATAATTTGTGATGTGATAACGTGTGGCGTTGATTATGCACGTGAAACCACTCAAGGTCAAAATGTTGTCGTCTCATTCTCAAACCATTTTCTAGCCGTTCTCTGGTGATAATGTCCATAAGAAAGGGCCTCTCTGATTCGCATGACTCGAAAAAGCATAGTACTAATAAGAAAACATAGGGAAATGGAAAATACGTGAAGGTGTAATGGAAGGTCTCTGATTGCAGCATGGGAAAGGATTAATTGCTTGTCACAGGAACAAGGAAAACTTAGGGGCCTCTTTGGCAAAAATGGTTTTCATACGAAGTTTGGAGGACTGAAAATGGTTTTTTTTTCTCGAATACGCTAAGGTAGCGTATCATTGCATTGATAGACGGAGAGAAAAAGTACAGGGGTGGGATTCATAGTCTCGTGCACACGGATGGCGAGCCTAAGAACCCAGGGGAGCAGAAGGCAGGGGTTGCTCAGCCCCAACAGTTACAAGGTCATGTTACAAAACGGTTCAAGGCGAGCCCTCGAGCTGCAGCGGCGGCCCAGGAGCGAGCTTCCTCTTTGATTGCGGCGATCAGGGAAGAGGAGGAAGGGGTAATCTTATCGAAGATGACCGCGTTCCGGTGACGCCAGAGGGACCAAGCAATGAGGGAGGCGATAGTGGCCAGGCCACGCCTACGCGTGGCCGGGAGAAGAAGGATGGCTGCGGAGAGCCAAGCAAAGTAGCCGGTGGTGCCATCCGGCGCAGCCGTCGTTGGGGAACACCACGAGAGGATCTCGTGCCATGTGATGCGCGCGAACACGCACTCCACCAAGATGTGATGGAGTGTTTTGGGCTCCTGACAGCAGAAGACACACGCGGGTTCGTGTGGCAAGCCTCGCCGGGCCAGCCGGTCAGCAGACCAACACCTGTTAAGGGATGCGAGCCAGATGAAAAAATTGACCAAGGTGGGGGCACTAGTTTCCCAGGTGAGGCGCCAAAACACGGAGTCCGTGGAGCCGTGGAATAGGGCGCTGTAGCAGGAGGAAGCAGAGTAGGCGCCATTGGCTGTCCATCGCCAGCGTAGCAGGTCCGGACGCGGGGCGAGCTCGACTAGCTGGAGGCGGCGCCAGAGCCCCACATACTCGACAACAGCAGTGGGACCGAGGGGGCCCCGGATGTGTGATATCCAGCAGCGATCAGATAGAGCCTGGGCCACCGTGCGCGATCGCCGGATACGACGAGGAACCAACGCCACCAGGGAAGGGGCGCTGTCGAGGGGGTAGAGACCGTCCAGCCACGGGTCCAGCCAGAAGCGGCAGGTGTTACCATCACCGAGGATCCACGACGTGGATGCCCGGAAGAACTGAGTCACCTCAGGGTCGCGCGGGAGCTGGAGGTGCGCCCACGGCCGAGAGGGATCAGTAGCCTGGAGCCAGAGCCAGCGCGTCCGAAGCGAGATGCCAGTACGGTGAAAGTCGCGGATGCCAAGACCCCCCCCCCCAGCTCGATCGGGCGGCATACCCGTGCCCAGCTAACTAGGCAGGAGCCGGCGCGCGCATCCTTCCTCCCGTGCCAGAGGAAATCACAGAGGATACAATTAGCCTGCTTAAGGATGGCAGGGGAGAGAGCCATGGCGAGGAGCATGTGGACAGGCATGGCGCTCAGGACTTGCTGAACCAGATTGAGCCGCTCGCCGCGGTTGAGCAAGGCAGCCTTCCATGTAGCAAGCTTGCGACCAAGCTTCTCAATCAGAGGAAGCAGATGGGCGGCGGGCACTTTCCTGAGCGAGAGGGGGAGGCCCAGGTAATGAATGGGGAAGGCCACCACCGGGCAAGCGAGGGCGGCACTGACGTTGCTTGCAGAGTCGTCGGGGCACTGGATGGGAGCGGCAAGGCACTTCGCGAAGTTTGTGCGCAAGCCCGAGGCAGTGCCAAAACGATCTAGCAGAGAGTTGATAGCAGAGAGCTCAGATCTATCGGGGTGGCAGAAGATGATCACATCGTCAGCGAAGAGGGAGACGCTTGACGGGGCATGCATGCGCGTCAGTCGCTTGAGGATCCCGGACTGGACGGTGAACTGGAGCAGCGTGTTGAGCGTATCGATGACCAGCACAAACAACATCGGGGAGACCGGATCGCCTTGGCGAAGGCCCTGACCGTGCAGAATGGGGGGGCCCGGCGTGCCGTTGATCAGGATGCACGTCGAGGCCGTCGAGATCAGAATGGAAATCCACTCTCGCCACCTCGGGCCAAAACCCATATGTTGGAGCACCCGAAGCAGGAACGGCCAAGAAACAGAGTCGAACGCTCGCGCGATATCCAGCTTGAGAAGCACACGGGGTTGCTTCAGTTGGTGCAGCTGTCGTGCGGTCTGCTGGACGAGGAGGAAGTTATCGTGGACGCTCCTTCCAGAGATGAAAGCACTTTGGTTGGGGGAGATGAGTTCGCCAAGACGCGGCGCCAACCGAAGCGAAAGAATCTTAGCAAATAGCTTCGCGATCAGGTGGATGAGGCTGATCGGCCGGTAATCAAAGAGGGAGGCGGCGTCGGGCCGCTTGGGCAGCAGAGTGATGTATGCCTCGTTAAGCCGTTGAAAGGCTTGTCCATTTAGCGCATAGAGCTTGTCGAAGACGTTGCAAAGATCATCCTTGATGATGAGCCAACATGAACGCAGAAACTCGACAGTGAAACCGTCGGGACCGGGGGCTTTTCCAAAAGGAAGTCGCTTGATAGCCTCCCATATCTCCGCCGACGAGAACGGGCTATCTAGAGCAGAGAGGTCGAAGGAGCGCTGGCCAATGGCATCCAGGTCAAGGGTGAACCCGCGCTCTGCGGGGGCGCCGAGGACGGAGGAGAAGTGCGTGAAAGCGGCTTGGGCTAAGTCAGCCTCACCTGACACGTGCACCCCATCCACGAGGAGGCTAAGGATGCGGTTCTTGTTGCTGCGGTGAGACGCCATGATCTTGGAGATAGCGGCCGCAGCTTCGCCAGCCCGAAGCCAACGCAAACGAATGCGCTGGCGGGCGATCGAGCGCTCAAGGGAAGCCAACCCGAGGTATTTGCGCTTGAGCTGCCGGCGGAGCCAGGTCTCAGGAGGGGATAGGCGGCGAGTGTCTTGAGCCTCGTCAAGCCGGGTAATGAGCTCGCGGGCAACCCCAAGTTGAGCGGCAAGATTGGAGGCGAAGCGAGAGCTCCATCTTTGGAGGCTGCGCGCGGTGACCCTGAGCCTAGCAAAAATGCGCCTGAACGGGTCATGCTCCGGGGCCGTGGAATGCCAAGCCGACTGGATGGTTTGCTGAAAGCCATCGAGGCTGGGCCAGTACTGCTGGAAGTGAAAGCGCCTGCTGCCAGACGCCCTGGTGGCACAGTCCAGGAAGAGGGGTGAGTGATCCGAGACCGAAGACGCAAGACAGCGCAAGAGGCAGTGGGCGTGGTCGAGCTCCCATGACGAGGTACACAGCACACGTCATTACGAACCAGGATCGGATTGTCCTGTTCATTGGACCAAGTGTATCACCGCCCGTGGAGGTAGATGTCGCGCTGACAATTTCCCAACACGTGTTATTTGGTTTGTATGATCGAATCCTGCAAATTTGTTTTTTCTGAACTAAGATTCTTGCATAATGGAGTATTTCATAGATATTTCTATTTTTGATATGGACCTTTTTGTTTTGAACACGCGGCAAGGGCATTTAAGGCCCCGCTTGGTATCGGTGTAAATTTTTACACCCGTATAGATTTTACAGGTGTATTTCACCGGCCGTAACGTGATTTCCATCTGGATAAAGAACGATGTGTGGAGGTATGTACATTTTACAACGGTATATCGCTGCGAAACAACGTTCCAATCAACGCGTTACACGTCGCCACCGTGAGACTGGAACACCGCAGGCCGGACGTGCTTGCTCTAGAATGCCCGTTTTGTTTTTCCCTGTGATGCCATCAAACAGATTTTGAGACAAATTCTATGGTGTAGGAATCATGTAGACGTGGGGTGTACCGAAGCAAAACTCCGTATACAATCCTGCATATATTTTTTAGAGCTTGGCTGACCACAGCCTTGCCAAGTAAAATAACATGTAGTCTTTTTTTTTTGCGGGGAATAAATAACAGGTAGTCGTCTTCGTGCGCTGATCCAATGGATTTGCGTAGAGCACTTGGACCTCGTCGTTGCTTCGCCCGCCCGTTGCGTGTGGGCGGATTGAATATGCTCCTGTACCTCTCGTAGAAGCACTCGTCGCACTACTATACATAGGATAGGACATCATCGCCGGAGACCATAGGGAGATGGCCTCTTCGCCGCCGTCGTCGCAGCCGCGGGTGTGCGTCACCGGAGCCGGCGGGTACATCGCCTCCTGGCTCGTAAAGCTGCTCCTCGCCCGCGGCTACGCCGTGCACGCCACCGTCCGCGACCCATGTACGTGCCATGCACGCCTGCGCGCTCTCTTTGCTGCTCTCGGCACCTTGTTTAGTTTTGTGTTCTTCAAATCAAACATGAAAAATGGTGATATCTGGGATGAACAAAGCTGGAGTACGTACCTGCCACAAGCTAATTCTGCGTCGCCATTTCAGCTACCACAAGGTGTATTCCATGCCCCCCCTCCTTCGACCCTTTTAAACGTAGCAAATAATAGTGGGGCTAGAAAATTAATGTGTATCCGAGTCAAAGGAACCACTAGTAATCAGCGGTATGCTCGTATTGATGATGTTGTGCTGTTGCTGTAATCAAGTTATTAATGATTGGATGAAAGCAAGAAATAACCTTAAGTCGGTCTCTTCCCTAAATACCGACTATAAAAGTGAACGTAGTCTTTTACTACTTTGAAGTACATGGTTCTTCCCGTGCAAAAAAAAGGTA